ATCTCTTAAAGTAAAACTTTAAGTTGGTTTAAAGATAGTGTTAAGACTTTATTAGCAAAGAAATAAAAAATTTCTTGCGAACATTTTTTTGTGTATAGGCAAAGAATCAGCGGAAAGAGTTTTTTATCACTTCTGCTCTTTTTTAATTATATTATCATATAAAATAGATAAACTATTATAATATTAGATTATTTTAATATTTTTGTTATTTTTCTGTATATTAATCTATATATAGAAAACTATACTGATTTATGAGTAGTCATGATCAAATAATCCTTGCCAATATATTGTTAATTATATATTTTTGAATTTTGTATACTAATTTTATTTATTTATATATATATTACTTATTTATTATATACAATATAGCTAGATCAACATATATTACTACTTTGAGTCAAATCAACACATCTTGATGTTATTGATTTATCATATCTAGAATGTATTTACTTTATATATTTATATTTATATAATATAAGTAAATAGATCAGTTGTTGTAATTATTTTGTTACTAATCTTTACTATTTGATTCAAAAGACCTAAATATTCTTCTAAATTTTTTAGCCCTTAACTTGAATTGATTTATCAGTTTGGATTATTGCTTCTGAAATCTCTCTTAGTACCTAAAAAGATATTAACATATATTAGTTTAATTAAGAACTTTGTGAAGTTGATATGAGATCACAAGAATTCTATTATAAATTAGTTTATCTTTGCTTTCTTTTTTTCCTAAAGCAAATTAAAAGTAAAAGAATATTATTGTAAATAGTGATATTCTTTCTTTTTGTTAAAAGTTAGCCATATATTATTTGAAGAGAAGTTATTTTTAAGATTGTTTTTTGTGAAAAGAGTTTTTTTAAGAAAATTATTATAAAAGAAAAATTTTCTGAAAATTTGAAAATCAATAGAAAAGTAAAAAAAAAAAAAAAAAAAAAACCAACAATTTACTTAATTTATTCTTATTTTTTAATATTATAATTATCTTTTTTAAACACTAGTTATATTGAAATAATATATATTTTAAATTATTTAATTTTTAATAGTTTTATTAAATATATAAATATAATTAATAAAAGCTTGTTTATATTCTATAAATCAATATATTTTATACTAATTAATTATTTTTGATAATAAAAAACCATAAAAATAAAGACTTCAAAAAATTATAACAGTTTATAAAAAAAAAATAAATTCTATATTATAAAAAAACTTTTATATAATATACTTCAAAAATTAAGAAACTTTCAGATATTTTATAATTGATTTTTTTTTAAAACTTTTTTATTATTAATATCAAAAATATTACTTGACTTATTTTTAATTACTAAAAATTAAGTTTTTAAATAAAAAAAATTTAAAAATAAATAAAAAAGAATAAAAATTATCTTTGAAGTCACTTTTTAAATTGTTTTAAAAAATTTTAAGATTTTATTAATAAATAAGTAACAAGACTTCTTATAAATATTTTTTTATATATAATTAGAAAATTGTTAACTGTAATAACTTTAGTAATTTAAATTATTAATATAATAAAAATTATTTTTATTATTGAAAAACTTATTTTACTAATCTTTTAACTATATATAAAAAAGAGGTTTATATAAAGTTTTTATATTTATTTGCTAATAAAGTCTTAATACTTTTATTAAAACTACTTAAAATATAAAAACTTGACTTTTAATAATCAAAAAAGTCAAGTAACACTTTTGATATTAATAAGAAAATTTTTAAAAAAAGAAAAATTAATTGTGAAATACTTGAAGAACTTTTTAATTTTTGCAATATAAGATTTTATATAATAAAAAGAGTTATTTTTTTTCTTTTAACTATTTTAATCCTCTTAAAACATTTACTTTTATGATTTTTCATGAAATTTTATTATTTCAATTTGATTCTAAATTTTTGATAACACAAATTCTTATTTTTTTATTTTTTTTTAAGCCTTCTCTATCAGGCTAAGTATATATATTTTATTAAATATTTTGTATATTTTATATTGAAAATATGTTACTAAAGCCAAATCTTTACCTAATCTATTTATCACTATTTTGAAATTTATTAAAACTCTAAGTGCAACTTTGGAAATGATTTATTACTTCATTAGTAGTTCAGATAAAAATTCTTTCAATTGCTAATTTTATTACCTGCAGGTCACTACTATAGAAATAATACAAATTATTATTAAAGATAATTGATTAATATAAATCATATTAGTTTTTAAATATAAACAAACTTTTATTGATTATACTTACATGTTCTAATAGTATTATTGATAATTAAAAAATATTTTAGAAATGTTTGCTTTTCAGAAACACAAATTCCTTAGTAAAAATATTCATAATATCAAAATATCAAGTGATAAGTAATATAAATTGTAAATTTTTATCTTCATCTAAGTTTTTTAGATAGTAATAAAGCTTTAATAAATAAAAACTAAGGTTTATAATAGTGAATTGCAGACAATAATATTTATATGAGAAGTGAATTAATTCAAACCATAAATAAAATAATAAATCACTTTTAAAGTTATACTTAAAGTTTGAAAATAAATTAAGATAAGTGAGTTAGTTAATATTTTAGTTTTAGTGATACTGTAAATAATATAGTCTATATTATATTTAATAAAGTCTATATAACTAATCTGATAACAGATAAAAAAAAATTAAATAAAAATTAAGGTCTAAACATTTTTCTTGGGATATTTAATTTGATGTTTGTTTATATAAAAAATTAATTATTTATTTATATAATATTATAAATAATAATAATAAAGATTTCTTCTAAAAAAACTCTTTTCATTGATTTTCTAATCACATATAAAAAAATATTCACAAGAAGTTTTTACATTTCCTTACTAATAAAGTTTTAACACTTTTCTTAAAACAATTTGAAATATAACTTCAAGAGTTAATATTACTCTTTCTTTATTGTTTATAAACCTCTTTACTCAAAAATTTGATTCTTAGTAATCAAGAAAAATCAAGTAATATCTTTTATATCAATAGCAAGAAAGTTCTCAAAAAAAAAAGAACTATTTGTGAAGTATCTAAAAGTCTTTTTAATTTTTGCAGTGAGAGATTTATAAAGATTTATTGCAGTCAAAAGGCTTATTTTCTCTTTTTTGAACTGTCTTAGTTGTCTTAATGCTTCTACTTTCATAGTTTTTTAAGAAATTTTGCTTATCTCAATTTGACCTTGAATTTTAAATAGTATAAATTTTTATCAAAGATGATTGATTAATATGAAACATATCAGTTTTTAGAATTTAAACAAGTTCTTATTGGTTATACTCATGTGTCTTATTATATTATTAATAATATAGAAAAGAATGTTCTAAAAAAAGTATTCTCTTTAACTATATATGTTTAACCTCTAGGAAACAATTATAATATTAAAAAGTGGGTGATAGAAAGGCAAATATATCCAATTCTTATCTCTTTCAGATAGTAAAAAGACTTTCTTAAACAAAAGTTAAGATCTTTAAGCTTTTATCCTAATTAGGTAAAAATTTTAAAAAGATTTCTTTATCCCTATCAAACAAACTCTTCTATAATATGACACTGGCTCCAGTAGTATCAAGTGAATTTATATATTAGTAGAAGAATAAGTTCTTCAAATATTTTTCTTGAAATCATTTTCAGGAATAGTTAAGTTTCTCAAATATCATAAAGCTTAAAGGATATTCTAATTAGGTAAATTTCTTTCGAGAGGAAATTGTGAAATAGAACAAGAACCTTTTGAAGGGTTTGAATTGTGTTTTCTTTTTCTCTCTTTTCTAGTACTATACTTTAGCAATTTATCATTTTTTAGAATAATCAATAGTAATAAACTGTTAACAATAATCCTGATTAATTTAGAGATACTATGTTAAACTACTAGAAAAGCATAATATTGTTCCTTAAATCTGACTTAGAGTATCTAGTTTAGACTTAGTTTTGTTTAGTTTAAACTAGTTTAATAAGCTTCTCATATTTTTTTAGTAATATAGTTCTTCAACTAATAATATATAATAACGAGTTAACAGTTTTATAAAAGTTTATAAAATATTTTGATATTTTTTAATATTTCAATAAAGACACACCAAAGTAGCATAATTGCAGGTTAAATAAATAAATAAATAAGATTTCTTCTGAGATTTAAGTAAAGTAAAAAAAACTATTTTAATTAAATAGATTTCTTTTAAAAAGAAGTTATTTTTATTTTTAAACTTTTTTAATAGATTTTGAATTATTTTTTTTTTCTTCTAACTTAACAATTCATCGATTTTCAGATCAATTAATAGTGACAAACTGTTGATAATAATCTTAATATATAGTGATTAATCCAATCATATCAGGAGAATATAATATTACTCTCAAAATCTGACTTAAAGTACTTATATAAAGAAGAGTTGATCACTTTATGAAAGTCTAATTTTGTAGATTTTATAGAAATATATTATTTCGCAATGTTATTCCATACCTTTTTTTACTAAGACTAAAACAAAATATCATTATAATTTATTTTTTAAAGAAGTTTTTTTTTACATATAAAAGGCGTAGTTTGTGGTCAGCCTCTCCCAAATTTAGAAAAATTTTGTACCACAAAAAAATACCAGTATTTACGCGTTCTTGTATTTCGCGTAATCTATTAGTAATGGGAACCCATAAACAGGAGACTAACTTCTTTCAGGTAGGCATATATTTTTTAGTAGTAGTAAATTCCTTTCCCTTAGGTTCCCTTTGTGAGATCGCCAAAGTAATTTGTTTGATGCAGTGAAAAGGTGTCATCATATATGAAACACGTTACAATTAACATGGTCGTCGGCACCATAGAGGGTTTCCTTTGTGAAATCACCGAAGCAATTTGTTTATATATGAAAAAATGATGCAAAGGTGGTTACCGTTCGATAATGTTGGTCATCCGGCACCACAAAGGAGCGACCTATTGAAGTTTCTTTAATAAGGTCTATCGATTCTAGATGAAGAATTGGTTATGCTCCTTCCTTATCATAAAGAAACTTCCGTTTACTATACTGCTAATGAAAATATGGCTATTACTAACGAATATTTTCATTAATATATTAAGTGCGACAACGTGAATGAGGTGCCAGAAAAGAAAGGAAAGAAAGGGCCCAGCGAAGAACTTTTCATAGAACCTGAAAATCTTGAAGGCGACTCATTTAAACCCGATCCAAACATCTTAAATGATCAAATTCGTGAAGTTATTGAAAGAAAAGAGGTTGAAAAACAAGAAATTATAGAAAGAATGAATAAAGAAAAACTAGAGCTTGTGATGGAAATTGTGGAACGGAAGGAGTTAGAAAAACAACAACTTATGCATGATCTAGAAAAGGCTCGAGAAATCGTAAAAAGTCATGAGGAATCATTATTACATTTAAAACGAGTATACAACTTAATGGATACCTTGGAATATGTTAGTTCACAAGTATGTTTTATTAATCTACTCTTAAATGTTTAATTTTGAGTATTGGTTATTTATTTCTTATGTTTCTTATTTCTTGTAATAGATTTCTTTGAGAGATGGATCCATTACATCTGCGGAGCCCATGGATAAAACATTAATGGAATTATTTAACGATGAAGCTTTCATGAATTACTTACAGAAAGTTTGCAAAGACAACCGTGTTCATCTAGATGATATTAAAACATGTATAGGTGGTCTATATCACACTGTGTCCGCGGGCATAAAAAACTGTAATTGACGGGCGATTCTGGTCATCCTACGAAGTTTTATTGCTTGGAATTATATTTGAGCATTTTAATATTACTTTGCCATATTGTAATGCTAACGGTATATTTGACGATTTCCCTTATGAAATTTCGCGCCCTTTATAATTTATTAGCTAGCTAATTTTCACGAATTATTTTTACCTCATTCAACTATGTAGTATATTTCATATATAGTACAGTTGCCTGCAATGTGATTTAATTTACGAAATAAAATTATAAGGGCTTTTATGATTGATTAGATAAAGGAATGTTATTTACGCAAAATTAATACCCATTTAAATTTTATATAAAATGTTAAATCTCATTTTCAGATTTAAAATATAAATCAAAATCTTAACCTATGAAATTTTTGGATTCCATTGTATTAAATCTATAATTTATAATTTTTATTTTAATTAACCTGTTATTATTGATCAAAAAACTAATTATTATTTAACCAATAATCAAAAAGATAAAATGAAAACTAATATAAATAAAATTTTACTAATGCTTTATTGCTATCTATTATATTATAGAACCTTGAATTTAATTGTTAAATAATAGGTGTTTAAAATAAAATAAGAACAAAAAAAAACTAAAAAATAAAAGTGTTATAAGATTTAAATATAGATATATAGATTTAATTAAGTTGTTTTTTGAAAATAAAACTCTTTCCGCTGATTCTCTGACTATACACAAAAAAGATGTTCGCAAAAAGTTTTTATACTTCTTTGCTAATAAAGTCTTAATACTTTCCTTAAAACAACTTGAA